GAATAAACGCAATAAATACAACTTTCATGTTTATAAAAGTGATACAACTCTATATAAATAATATAGTATAAAGTGTATCATAATGTATTAGGTATTAATATTTAATAAAAATTGTCTTACTGAACAGATTCTTCCTTAAACAATTACTCAAATTATACTATTTAGAGAAAGAGAAAAAAAAAGTTGAAGTTTTATATTTGTGCAATTATGACCCACTATTCAGAGAAAGAGAAAAAAAAGTTGAAGTTTTATATTTGTGTGAAAAAAAATTAAAGTTGACTTTCACTTGCAATGCACAGGTGACTTTCAAAACATTCTGGAATGAAAGATTTTGACTCACAGACCACCATCGAACAAGGACTTTTCTGCAGTTTTATGGCAGCTATTTTTTTTTTTTGGCAAACTTAAATGTGACTGTAGAGTTCATGACTGGACGTAGCACAAAATTCGAAAAGGAAGATCAATACTTTTAGACACATCACAAGAAGAAAGAGCCCTGGATACACAGTCAGAACTGATAAAATATGAGGCCAAGGAGGAAAGATAATAAAAATGATAGACAGATTGAGATCGTGGCTGAACATGAAACGAGCTGCAGTCACACCTCCACGAGCCAGACATCTGATGTGAGGAACAGTGAACTACTTGTCATTGTGACACTGCACACAACCAAAATGTGACCTCTGCCTTTTAACCCATCACCATCGTCAGCAGGGGGCAGTTCAAGCACCCGGGGAGCAGAATGTGGGAACGGTGAAAAGCTCAGAGCATCTCAGTGACTTGGCAGCTGGTGGATTCGAACCTGAAACCTTCCACTTCCGCTTTCCTAACCACCGAGCTGCCACTGCTCAGTCACCACTGAAAGGAACGACAGGGGCCAGGAGTCCTACCACTGTAACCCCTCCCCCCCACCAGGGGGACTCATTTGTGTAAAATTCCCGAAAAAAGGTTTCACTTTGATAAAACAAAAAAAATTGAGGCTTGAAATTTGTCGCCAAAATTCCTGGTTTTGATGTCGTAGAAGTGTATAGAGCGCCTGGCTTCTCAAAGGAGGACCTGGCTTCCTGAAACTATCATTACATTTAACAAGAGCAATCTGAAGGCTACAGTAAATGCCTGAGAACCAGGAGCCCCCAGTGTGGCAGCACATGGGCCCCCGGGCGACGTATGGAGCAGAAGTTTTAAATGACCGCAAACTCCTCAAAAGTTCCTGCCAAAACTGAGCCCAGACACGGAGCAGACCCAGGCATTACATCAGTGAGCGCCGAACACAAACCCTATAGTTCTCATGCACCACTTCCACATGTGCATGCACTCAACACACGCTGCCTCCTCCTCCATCCAACCAACCAACCATCCATCCAGCCACCCAGCCACCCACCTATCCCACCAAGTCTGCCGTTCCCAAAGACACACAAAACCCAAACAGACGTAGCCTTGACAACAGAGCGGCTGAAAACACAGGTAGTACTAAAGCTATGTTAATTACATCCACCTCCTGTGGGAACACAAAGGTGGTGCTTTTTTAACGAGAGCCAGTCTGTGTGCCTGCCTGCCTTCGGGGGATCCATCCGAGACCCGGCCGGCTCGCCTTACACCATCAAAGGCCGCGGCGGCAATCTGAGAGTCCACCTGGGACGGGAGCCTCTCAGCAGCTCCGAGACCTCGTATACTTCCCTGATGGAGGGTTGACAGAGCGGACAGGGCAGTGCGGGGGGTAGGTGGGGGGTAAAGAGCACCTCACTGGGGGAGGGGGGCATGTGAGGAAGCAAGGAGGTGGGCTATGTTGGAGGAGTGGTGAATAGAATGTTTGCAAGAGAGCACGCAAAAGGTCAAGCTGTCGTAGAGTGAGGAGGAGCGACGACAGAAGCAGAAACAGAGTGAACACCGCACCCTGGTGGCGAAGTTGATATACAGGCTGCCTGTACACAGAAACACACACATGCAGCACAACACTCAGAGCGCCCCCCCATGGCTGTAGTGAGTGGTAATTTAAACCTGACGGGTCACAGTTTGATCCTGTGTTTCAGCTTCTGCTGAAGTGGCTGAACCACAAAAACAACCACAAAAACAACCACAAAAACAACAACAAAAACAACCACAAAAACAACAACAAAAACAACCACAAAAACAACCACAAAAACAACCACAAAAACAACCACAAAAACAACAACAAAAACAACCACAAAAACAACCACAAAAACAACAACAAAAACAACCACAAAAACAACAACAACCACAACCACAACAACCACAAAAACAACCACAAAAACAACAACAACAACAGTTGGAAACACAGAGAGATAGGTCCAACCTCTGGCTCGGGGGGCCATTAACGCACCAGAAAGGGTTCAGAGCTTTTGGCTTGACCTAAAATGAACTCTGAAGTATTTTTTTCTGGGCAAAATCTATTTGTAATATGAATTCTGAGTTTGACAAAGTGTTAGAGATTTATTTTTTACTTTTAGCCAACATTTCAGCCATAAGTTTTCCTACAGAATGTTTGTATTCTACTGAACTTTTGGGTAAATTTTAAACTTCATTGTTGTTTATTTTGAGCAATTTCTGGGGAAACCCTGTGGGGGG